TATTATATAAATTATTTTTCATTATTTTTGAATAACCAAATGCATTGGCATGACGCTGATTAAGTTGTCCGAGTTTATTTGGGCAACTAGGTGTTCTACTTTAGCGCTTTCTCTTTGCCATCGCTCACGTTCAAAGAAAGTCTGTTTAGCATCGTCTTCTGTCGCATCGTTTTATAGGCATGACGGCACTTCGACTTTTCGCATTCTGAGTAGTTGCTTTCTTAAATAAGCGTGACCGGATAACAGCCGAGTTGTGTAAAAGTAAAAGTTTCTTCGAATTTATAGAAAAGTTTGGGACTTTTATTAGTCTGGTCGTCCATCTAACGTAACTCTGATTCTTCCATCTTCATTGCCATGCCAGTATCGTGTCTTTTTTTATTCGTTCAATTGCGCTCTCGTTATTTTAGAATTTTTTCTTTAGGTTCAACAGCGTTTTCCTTACATATGCCAGAGGCATTGGGACATTAGCGCTTATAACAAATATTGCATCGCCTGATACTATTCGGTAAGCTGATGCACTTTGGCCACGACCTTACGTCGTTTTTTCTTTTTAAACATATCAGCCCAGACCTCAGCTCCATATAATAGGACGCTGATTATTGTTGACATTAGGAGCTTTCTCTTTCCTTGGCTGGAGTCCACTATGTTCGAAAGCATCGATGAAACAACTAAAAGCATAAACTTTGCACAAAAAGTTCTTATAACTATGGCACCTTAAGATCAAGAATTGTCCAAATCGAGCCAAAACTATTCTTAATATATGGATCCAGCATTTATAGTTGACTTTTTAACCAAAATATCGGTTAAAGAGTGTGAGATTTCTTTTTTAATAGTAGTGGGTCTGTGTGCTACGAATGTGTGGAATCGAATCAATACGTCCCTTAACCCCTAAATACCTCTGAAAAATTTTGCATTTTTCGAACCCTTCAACTTGTAGTGAGGATCTGAATTTACTAACCTTTTATTTGCACCTGTTTTTTTTTAATATTTGCGGAAGTAGCTTTCAAGTTTTCTGTTTAGTTACCTACTGCCCTAGATCTAGTTTCAGCCATAAATATTGCACTTTTGAATGTAGGACACGTTTATATTCTCGAGTACTACGAGTATATTTATATATATCATATTATTTAAGTACACACAATATAAGCATCATGAACCTACGTGCGTCTACGTGGATTATTCGGGATTATGTCAGCTCGTACAAGACGCAAAGTGGCACTTTGACAGTAATTCCTTTGTATATATAAAAGTGTATGTGTGTATGTGTAATTCTGCAACATACTCAAAAATCCAACCACAGCAGCGTATATACATATAGTATAGATATTCTCAACCATAAGTTTACATTTACATAATATGCACACGTACTTTTACACTTTTATTTAACAATTTCTATGCTACATACTTCATATAATCTCTATATAATTTTCATGTATGTATGTATGCTTGTTTGTATATATTTTTTCCAACTCTGTCGCAATATTTTCACCGTTGAGCCACAACGCATTAAGTCTGTCTATTTTAATATTAGACACATTGTTATTTGTATACTTGTAGGCGCATAAATGGGCATTAAATCTTTCGCTTTACTTTGCAAACACTTGACAGCTGACAACTGACGCTTAGCTACTTACTACAGCCATAAACGGAAGTTGAGGAATTTCATATATGAAATTATAGCTTTAAACGTCAGCAAGTGCTGCATATCTTTAGGCGCTGTATAATAAAAAAAGGGTTTCGGCAGTTTTGCATATGTGAAACACATACTTTGCTTGACAGCGCTGTTTTTAAATGTGACACTGATTGCCTTTTATAATATCAAGTGTTAAGTTATAGCTTTTTGTGGTTTCGAAAGCACTCATCAAGGTATGATTTCAGGGCTTAAATATACAGTTTAGGAATGTTTATTATTTTCACCTTAGAAAGTTGATGTTACTAGCCGCATTTAGTTGTTTATTTTTTGCACCGTTAACCCTAGATGTAGGGCTGTAGGCTAAGCAAAAACGATGTAATACAAACCACTCATATTATAAAAAAATTTTGAGCTTTGTTTATCAAATTGTTATATCTGACAGCGCAAGCTTAAAATTTTATGATGTTTATTATATACATAATTTCGATTTTTTTTATGATACGTTGTTTTACGTCTCTGGAGACGGATATGTAAAGAGGTACTAAAAATTATTCAAATTGGTTAAATACAACCAATTATTCAGATATGAAGAATGGTCTTATAACTTCGTTAATTGAAAAGCTTACGACGTAAAATTGTTTGAAGCTGAAAACATAATATTTTTTGTAACTTGCTTTATTATTATATCCACAAGGAAAATATCAAAAATTATTCCAATCGGTTGACTATAAATTATAGTTGCCATACAACCGATTATCCAAATATGCAAAATTGTGCTTTAACTTGCTAAATTTTAGAGGTAAAACCATGCAATTTCTTGAGTTATTATCTTTTTATATGATAACGTTGACAACCAAAGCCATTGAAAACGATTGGCTATAACATATAGCTGCCGAACAACTGATTGTTTAGATATAATATTTTTTGCCAGAAATACAGCACTTAATAAGCCAAGCAATACAAAATTTCGCGAAATATTTACTTAACACACATACAATGTGGTGTTAAAAGTCAGCAAGATTAAGCAACTACAACAAATTGCTTACATATTATAGAACAGTACTTTCAGTAACGGCGCGCCTAAAAGTATGCTACAAAAATTGCGTACAATGAGAAATTTTCATTCCGAAACTATATTTTACTATTATCAATACTTTTTTTTATCAATATTCAAATAGAAAGTATTTTGGTTGAGGCAACTAAAAGTATGCTACAAGAATAATTTAATTTTAAAAAATTAAAATGATTTCTTAATTTTCATTCAGCAACTATCTCTTACTATAATTTCAATATTTTCAATGGTTCAATAATCAATAGACAAGTTGTTTCAGTAGCGTCGCTCAAAAGTATGCAACAACTTTTTTTTTAATTTTTATTCAGAAACTATTTCTTTTACTATAATTTTTTGTTCAATATTGTTTTTTCAATTATTTAATCCAACATTTTTTCAAACTTTTCAATTACATAATAATTTTCAATTCAATAGAGCAGTTTTTGTCGAGGCGCTCAAAAGTATGCTAAAAAAATTGCATAATTTCTAAATTTTCAATCAGCAACTATCTCTCACTATAATTTCAATATTTTCAATGGTTCAATATTCAATAGACAAGTTGTTTCAGTAGTGTCGCTCAAAAGTATGCAACAACTTTTTTTCATTAATTTTCATTCAGAAACTATATTTTGCTATGATTTAAAGATTTTTTGTTCACTAACTTGTTTCTGCAATTACTTAATACTATATTTTTTCAAACTTTTCAATTACAAATAGTTTTCAATGCAATAGAAAAGTATTTTCAGTATCGCCGCTCAAAAGTATGCTACAAAAATAGCATTATTTCTCACTTTTCACTCAGAAACTATTTTTTTATTGTTTCAATATTTTTTTTTTCAATATTTTTCTTCGGCAATTATTTAATCTAATACTTTTTCAAACTTTTTAATTACATAATAATTAATTTTCTCGACAATTCAATTACTCATCGAAAGATAATTACATTTTCCTTAGCAAATGAAAACTAAACAAAGCGAATTTAATCACAACATTCTAAGCGATTTGCTATGCATGCATTTTCATTTTCATCTTTCTATGAATTCATTACAGCTTGCAGCTAAACGCGCGCGATTGCAATTCGAAAGTAAAAGAAATCCAACAGCTGTGGGAAAATCAGCGCAACGAATTCATATCAAACTTTGAACAGACTATTTAGGGTAGCAAAAAGCAGCGAAGGAGTGCGCAGCAAAGCAGCGGAAAAATACGGATAAAACAACAATAACACACAGCAGCAAAAACAGCAGTTGCAGGTGAGTACCAAGCATAACCGCTATAAAATGCAAGAACAAAAAGTAGTAATAATATGGTATGGCAACTTCATGCAAGTCCGATATTTTTCAAACTTTCTTTCTGGGTTTATGCTGCTACTGATTGTATATGCAATCTTTTCGATTTGCGATATTTCTTGCAATTTTAATACACTTAGAGTGTTGCCAAAGGCAATAAAAATGCAAGCAACGCTTGGCTGGACCAAATGCCACTTGTGTGTATGTGTGTGTGTAGTGGTGAACAGTAATAACTAAGCAGCTGCAGCAGAAATTATGCAGCAACGAAAAGGTTATAGGGCACAAATACACGCAAACTCACACAAACACACACATACATACATATAAAAGGGCATACAAAGTAAACGCGCACAAACTTGCAATGTGCAGCGGGAAAAATTGTAAAAAATAAAAACCGCGCTTTAAAGCAGCAAATGAATGACTGCGCCAACAAATTATGTCGAGCAATATAAAATAAAGCATATTTTTAGGTGCAGCTGCAGCTGCCACCAGACTTATGCTGGCAGCATGGCCAAATGATTGCGAGCTGGCAAGCGCCTACGTACTTACATACACATAGAAATACTAAATTTGAAATACGCTCAAACATACGCTAAGAAATGTTATATACATATATACATCTGCGCATATATGCATGTGTTTACATACATATTCACATGTCTTTGCCTTATTCTAGCTTCGTTTAGTTTAGTTAGCAATAAACCAATATTGGCCATGCATTGCATGTCAGCATTAGCCATTTTCGTTACGTGTGTGTTCGCCGAATTTGGCTTGCAACCAGCTAAATGTCGCTGAAATATATGAAAAATATGGCAGCATCAACTAATGTAAAATGCAAGCGCAGCTCAGCTGTGCTGCTGTGGCAGAATTATTGCCAACAAAGCGCGCATAAAATATGTGACGACAAAAATTGTTCATATATTTTTTAATAAATATTTACCGTTAATACTTTTCCATGCAACATACGGCTTTTATGGGACTTAATTTTTTTAATATTTTTGTTTTTGTTTTTAAATGCATTTTTGCTGTTTTTATATTTTTTTTGAAAGCTTTATTTCCAAACCTTTTGAGATTTAGTATTGATTTAGTTCAGTCTTTTATATGCATAAAACTATGTTTTAATATACTATTATCAGCAAAAAGTAGTAAGACCTTGTTCATAATATTAAAATTCTTATGTTATTCTAAAAAAAAAATCCACGTCGTCTTCCTCAAAGTATTCCCCTTTGATCCTGTTCAAGTAATCCTCCATAATACACCTGTGTCAAACATTTTTTCAATCCTCGAAATAGTTGTTAAAATAAATTTGCCGTAATAGTCTTCAACGCGCGTAGCGTCTCACGTTTAATGTCTTCAATTAACTCAAAAAAAGTTTTTTGAATTTGAGAAGTCGCAAGGAGCTAAATGAGGCCAACACGGTCGTTGCAGCACGATATTGGCTGACAATTTGGGAAAAACTCACGAATTATCAATACAGTACGCGACGGTGTATTATCTTGGTGCAAAGACCAAGAATTTTCGACCCATATTCGGGCCTCTTTCTGCAAATAGCTTCGCGCAAACGACGCATAGAACTCAAATACTATTCTTTCTTGACAGTTTGGCTCATTGGAAGGAATTTAGAGTGCACCACAACTCAATAATCAAAAAAAACTCTCAACATGACATCGAGTTTTGACCTGCTTTAACGTGGTTTTTTCGGCCTCGGCTCACCTATGCCACGCTATTCGCCGGTTGAACATCTGTTCTGGGTATTAAGTATAGATCCAGCACTCATCGCTAGTGTTAATACGTTACGTGACATCCTGGTAGTGGGAAAGCCTTGTTTCATAAACATTAACGTCGCGCTGTTTTCCAAATAAATTGTTAAATTTTATTGAAGTGTTTATTATCAGTTGATGTTTGTGGTCGTCCTGAATGTGGTTCGAAATCAAGAGCAGGGTCTTTGAAAGCGTTGAGGAATCTTCATCGCTCATATCTAGCGGCCCTTGCTCAGGTTGGTATATTCAACCAGAGGTAAACATGCCCAACCTTGCCTATTTCGGCCTTATATAACTGGAACGATCGCGCGTCATCATAATTTGGCTCCGGTACCAACCGACATCCGTGAATAACGGCGGCTGACCTGGCTTGCTAAATAGCACTTCTAATGCCATATTTGTCAGAGCAGCTTGCACCCATTTTCTTTGTGCTATAGTGATATTTCTTTCGATCCCTTTTGTTTTCGATGACTTAGCCTCTTCAAGCTTAATATTAAGCAGCACTGCTTTTGCGCAATCAATGGATTCATCAAGCTATATTGCACTCTCTTCATAGGTTCCACAACGCTGCTCCACAAACCTTGCCTGCACAGTGTTATCGATCTTTAAAGTCGGTCATTCCTTGGTAGATGCACTACTAGCAACAACACTTTTGGCAGCTGCCTAGCCTCCCTGCTTAAGGGTCATATTTTGGTTGCATACTGTGACTCCGGTTGCCGCTTATATCTTAGCGTCAGCTCCCTGTCTTTGCGCTGGCTCTTTTTGAGCCTCCCAACATCGTGATACTGTGCTATATTACCAGTCGACATCCTCGGGAAGGGGTCAGCTGAGAATATTTAACATTTTCTTCTTTTGTAATGATGACTTGTAAGCCACAGTAACATTTTGAATGCCACTTTCCATTAATTAAAATATTTTTTTATTATTTTTTTATTTAAACTTGTAATATTCACATACTTTCAGGCATTTTATTATAAACATATTTTTTCGATGCGCTCAAATCCTTTTTTTACCGCATATTTTATTTATTTTTTAGTGAAGGGTATATTCTACAGTTTAGCGGTAATTTTAAAACTAAAATAGTTTTTAACAGTGTTTTGATATTGAGAGTATTTTGAACACAAGGAAAATACAACTTCTGTTTGATATTTTTTACTCGCTTGGATGTCAGGTCTTGATAATACAAAAATATGCTTATGAAATCGTGAAAAAGAATATTTGACAAAATATGTTGACGATATTTGCTATAAATATAAAGCAAAGCTATCAACGACGCAAACATTTTTTAGATCGGACTAATATGGTATATAGCTGCCATACAAACTGAACGATCAAAATAAAGTTCTTGTATGGAAAACTTTTTATTTTGACGAGATATTTTCACAAAATTTGGCACGAATTATTTTCCAAAAACGACGCGCAAAATATTTCAAGGAATTTTCCAAATCGGACCACTATATTATATAGCTGCCATACAAA